CCAGGTGAGGTCTGACCAGAGCAGAATACAGTGGCACTATTACTTCCCTTGATCTAGATGCTATACTCCTATGGATGCAGCCCAGAATTGCATTGGCTTTTTTAGCTGCCGCGTCACACAAGTTCACGCAGTTGCTTATGGGATGGTTTCATCGCCGGTCTTTTTGGACTGGAAATATTGGGCCTGCTTTGAAAGAGGATTTGGGCAAATTCATGGAGGGAAAGGCATCTCAGTTGTTGGGAACCGAAGGAGGGGAGAGGGTGAGGCCACAACTGGAATACCGTGCCCAGTTCTGGGTTCGAATCCTGATTGTGGGTTTGAGGGGCTTCTCGGTTGACCACTGTGAGAAAAGGAGGATGGGATAGGTGGGCCACAGGACTGTCCCTGAGGACACGGGTGGCGCTGTGGTCTAAACCACGGAGCCTCTTGGGTTTGCTGATCGGAAGGTCGGCGGTTCGAATCCCTGCAATGGGGTGAGCTCCTGTTGCTCTGTCCCAGCTCCTGCCCACCTAGCAGTTCGAAAGCACACCAGTGCAAGTAGATAAATAGGTACCACTGCGGCGGGAAGGTAAACAGCGTTTCCATGCGCTCTGGTTTCCGTCATGCGCCAGAAGCGGTTTAGTCCTGCTGGCCACACGACCCGGAAAGCTGTCTGTGGACAAACGCTGGCTCCCTCGACCTGAAAGCGAGATGTGTGCTACAACCCTCTAATTGCCTTTGACTGGACTTAACCGTCCAGGGGTCCTTTACCTTTTTTCCCTTACCCTGGGTCAATGGACTTTTCTCAACATGTGGGTCCCCAGATGTTGTTAAACTACAACTCCCATCACCCTTAGCTAGCAAGGCCAGAGCTCAGGGATGATGGGAGTTGTAGTCCAACAATATCTGGGGACCCACAGGTTGAGAACCACTGCTTTAAAGGTTTTGTCTACCAGGGGTGCTTCTGAATCTTGCCTCACGTCCTACGTCCTCACGGCCCTCCCGTAAGCTCACAAGGTACTGTGGTTAAGCGTGCCTAAAACGGCATATATTAAAGAAAACTTTGTACCCAAACGCGGGATGTTGGGGGGGGGGGAATCGCTTTGCAAAAAATGCAGCTGTCAGGCAAAATTGCACAATCAGCAAACAGGTGTCGATAAACCTGTGCTGAGCCGCTGATGTATTTGCACGGGGACCTGATTAAAAAACAACAACGACAAATAGATTTGCAAACTGAAACATTGTAGGTGGAATTTGAGATGGGGGGGAAGCGAAACGAGCCACTGAAATGGGCAGGTTTTGCCCCTCCGTAACTGCTAGGCGGCTGGGAGACCAGAAACTCCGTCGGACAAGGCGAAGACATCAAGAAAGGGTTGAAGGATAGACATTCCCAATTAGCAGGGCAGCTGCACGGTTTCATATTACCTGCCCTGGGAAAAAACAGCCTGGCAGCCCCTTTAGATGAGGAAAAGCCGTTTCCGTGGCGGGGGCCAGGCTTAACCCTTTCCCAGAACTTTGAATTCCTTGCTCCATTTTTTCCAAATGCCTCCCTTCCCTCCCTCAGCTTGTGTGCTTTTCCTGATTGGGAATTAATTCAGCATTGAGAAACCCGAGGCCTCGGCGGGGTGTGTGTGTGTGTGTGAATGTGGCCCTCCGCGACTTTCTGACCGGCCCTCGGGACTCTCCTACGGCCACCACACTCCTTGCCAGCTCTGCTTCACATTTCTGGCTGGGATGCCTCCTCTGATCGTAGAATCGTGGAATTCTAAAGCTAGAAGGGACCCTGTGAGGTCATGCAGTCCAACCCGCCCTGCAGTGCAGGACCATGCCGCTCTCGAACCTGCAACCTTGGCGTTCATCAGGACCACGCTCCAACCAACAGAGCTAACCGGGCCCACGAACTCTTGCCGCCTGGGTGGGGGTATATAAAAAATCGTGTGCATGTGTATTTGTGTAGAAACTAGCGTACTGCGCATGGGCAAAATTTGCATCTGTTTCCACGCCCACCAACGCCTTCTGGACCCGTCCGCCAAAGCCATGTGGCCCCTGGAAGGTTTTGCAGGAGGGACTTTGGCCCCTGGGCTGATTAAACTTCCCCAGCTTGGATTGAGAGAGAGAGAGAGCAGGGAAATTATTTGGGTGTGTGTGTGAGAGAGAGATGGAATCTGTAGTTACAGTGGTACCTTGGTTCTCGAACGGCTTGGCTCCTGAGCAAATCGGAGCCAGAGCCAGAAGTGAGTGTTTCGGTTTGCGAATGCTTTTTGGAAGCCGGACGTCCAACGCGGCTTCCGGTTGAGCGCAGCTTGTCTTGATTTCCGAACGGTTTCAGGAGTCGAGCGGGCTCCCGGAATGGATTAAGTTCGAGAACCAAGGTACCGCTGTAAAAGCTAAAGGTAAAGGGACCCTTGACCATTAGGTCCAGTGGTGGCCAACTCTGGGGTTGCGGCGCTCATCTCGCTTTATTGGCTGAGGGAGCCGGCGTACAGCTTCCAGGTCATGTGGCCAGCATCTGGCGAACTAGAGCAGTGCACGGAAACGCCGTTTACCTTCCCGCCGGAGCGGTACCTATTTATCTACTTGCACTTTGACGTACTTTCGAACTGCTAGGTTGGCAGGAGCTGGGACCGAGCAACGGGAGCTCACCCCGTCATGGGGATTCGAACCGCCGACCTTCTAATCGGCAAGCCCTAGGCTCTGTGGTTTAACCCACAGCGCCACCCGCGTCCTAGGTACCGCTGTATTGATGTGCAACTCTGCAAATCCTGGGAGGTCTGGCAATTTGGGCTGCTTCCTCTCTCTCTCTTGCCGGTGCCTCGGAGCGGATCGCTGCGTTTCCACCAGCCCTGCCAAAACCTCCTCCGCCGCGGCAGGTCGGGAGAGCCGCAGGCCGTGGCGTACGAGTGGAAACTGGGGCTCCGCTGGCTGCCCAAATCTGCCGCCTGAAGCCGCAGGCTTCGGGTGGGGCATGTAGGATGAAAGGGGGGGTGAGAGAGAGAGAAACGACATTTCCAGTCAACCCGCGCAGAGCCAAATTTTCTTGGCACGACAGCAGGGCGGGGCGTTTGGCTGCTTGGTTTCTGACCAAAATGCTCAATTACTTGTAAGGGGAAGCAGATTTCAAATTGTAGCTGGAAGCTCTTCTGAAGCGGCTGCTTGTTTCGTCCCGTCCCGTCCCGTCCCGTCCGTATCCTGCCTCCTCCTCCTTCCCATGAGCTCAAGGTTCCTCCCTCTCCCCGTTTTCTTTGCACAACAGCTCTGCCGGGTAGACCCGGCAGAAAGGAGGCATGGTTGCTCTTAACTCGCCGGCTGCAGCTGATGAACAGAAACACTGGCCTCCATTTTTATAGGGTCGCTGTGACCTGTCTAACTTGCAGAGCCGGTCTCTTGCAAATAGTGTTTCCCCAGCTGAGAAGACGAGGATAAAAGTTCCTTAGCTATAAGCTATGAGTGTGGGATGCGGGTGGCGCTGTGGGTTAAACCACAGAGCCTAGGACTTGCCGATCCGAAGGTCGGCAGTTCGAATCCTTGCGACGGGGTGAGCTCCCGTTGTTCGGTCCCTGCTCCTGCCCACCTAGCAGTTCAAAAGCACGTCAAAGTGCAAGTAGATAAATAGGTACCACTCTGGCGGGAAGATAAACGGCGTTTCCGTGCGCTGCTCTGGTTCGCCAGAAGCGGCTTAGACCTGCTGGCCACATGACCCGGAAGCTGTACGCCAGCTCCCTCGGCCAATAAAGCGAGATGAGCGCCACAATTGCAGAGTCGTCTGCGACTGGACCTAACGGTCAGGGGTCCCTTTACCTTTACGGTGGTCTCTATGGGAGTATATTGTATTTAATTATGGGGTATCAGAGTTTTTAGGGGGCTAACCATTCTGGGATAGCAGGCTTGTTGGTTTCTGATTGTCTAATTTTTTTCAATTTCGTTGTTCTGTATGGGACGATGACTATAAAGATTATCGTATCGTATACAGAAGAGGCAATCCTTCCTGAGAGAAGTGAATGCCTCTTCTCAGATCAGGCATGAATCCACCGGGATGTGCTTGGAATGCCTCTGCAGAAGAGGCAATCCTTTCTGAGAGAAGGGAATGCCTCTTCTCAGCTCAGGCATGAATCCACAGGGATGTGCTTAGAATGTCTCTACGCAGAATATATAATAATAATAATAATAATAATAATAATAATAATAATAATAATAATTTATTATTTGTACCCCACCCATCTGGCTGGGTTTCCCCAGCCACTCTGGGCGGCTTCCATAGAAACCAAAAAACACTAAAATATCATACATTAAAAACTTCCCTGAACAGGGCTGCCTTAAGATTGCAGAAGAGGCAATCCTTTCCGAGACAGGAGAATGCCTCTTCTCAGCTCAGACATAAATCCACGGGGTGTCCTTGAAGGAATGTCTCTACGCAGAAGAGGCAATCCTTTCCCAGAGAAGGGAATGCCTCTTAGACCAGGCATGAATCCACCGGGATGTGCTTGGAATGCCTCTGCAGAAGAGGCAGTCCTTTCCGAGAGAAGGGAATGCCTCTTCTCAGCTCAGGCATGAATCCACCGGGATGTGCTTGGTTGGAATGTCTCTACGCAGAAGAGGCAATCCTTTCTGAGAGAAGGGAATGCCTCTTCTCAGCTCAGACATAAATCCACTGGGATGTTCTTGGAATGTCTCTACGCAGAAGAGGCAATCCTTTCCGAGAGAAGAGAATGCCTCTTCTTAGACCAGGCATGAATCCACTGGGATGTGCTTGGAATGTCTCTACGCAGAAGAGGCAATCCTTTCTGAGAGAAGGGAATGCCTCTTCTCAGATCAGGCATGAATCCACCGGGATGTGCTTGGAATGCCTCTAAGCAGAAGAAGCAATCCTTTCCGAGAGAAGAGAATGCCTCTTCTTAGACCAGGCATGAATCCGCCGGGATGTGCTTGGAATGCCTCTACGCAGAAGAGGCATTCCCTCTTGAGAGAACGGATGTGGTACTCCCTCTTGACTGCCTCTCTTTCTCTCTCTCTCTCTTTTCCAGGATGAGTTCCACCCCTTTATTGAGGCACTACTCCCCCACGTCCGGGCCTTCGCCTACACCTGGTTCAACCTCCAGGCCCGCAAGCGCAAGTACTTCAAGAAGCACGAGAAGCGCATGACAAAGGACGAGGAGCGGGCGGTGAAGGACGAGCTCCTCAACGAGAAGCCCGAGGTGAAGCAGAAGTGGGCGTCCCGCTTGCTGGCCAAGCTGCGGAAGGACATCCGCCCGGAGTACAGGGAGGACTTTGTCCTTTCCATCACGGGGAAGAAGCCCTCCTGCTGCGTCCTCTCCAACCCCGACCAGAAGGGCAAGATGCGCAGGATCGACTGCCTCCGACAGGCCGACAAAGTCTGGCGGCTGGACCTGGTGATGGTCATTCTCTTCAAGGGCATCCCTCTGGAGAGCACCGACGGGGAGCGGCTGGTCAAGGCCGCCCAGTGCACCCACCCCATCCTCTGCGTCCAGCCTCACCACATCAGCGTCTCCGTCAAGGAACTGGACCTATACCTGGCGTATTTCATCCGAGAGAGAGGTAGGAGGGAAAGACTCGCTTCGCGCCTCGGCGTCCGTGGGACTTCTTGGCGCAAATGGAGGGGCAAATGGAGTTAGGGGAGGGCATTTCGTGGCGCCGGATTAAGGGAGGGGCATTTCGTTGTTGTGAAAGAAAGGAGGGCATTTCACAGTTGTGAATTAAGGGAGGGCACCTTGTGGTTGTGAAAGGGCATTTTGTAGTTGTGAATTAAGAGAGGGCGTTTCATGGTTGTGAATTAAGGGAGGGCATTTCACAGTTGTGAATTAAGGGAGGGGATTTTGTGGTTGCGAAAGGGCATTTCGTGGTTGTGAATTAAGGGAGGGCGTTTCGTGGTTGTGAATTAAGGGAGGGCGTTTCGTGGTTGTGAATTAAGGGAGGGCGTTTCGTGGTTGTGAATTAAGGGAGGGCGTTTCGTAGTTGTGAATTAAGAGAGGGCATTTCGTGGTTGTGAATTAAGGGAGGGCATTTCGTAGTTGTGAATTAAGGGGGGGGGGCGTTTCGTAGTTGTGAGTTAAGGGAGGGCATTTCGTTGTTGTGAATTAAGGGAGGGTGTTTCGTGGTTGTGAATTAAGGGAGGGCGTTTCGCGGTTGTGAATTAAGGGAGGGTGTTTCGTGGTTGTGAATTAAGGGAGGGCGTTTCGCGGTTGTGAATTAAGGGAGGGCATTTTGTGGTTGTGAATTAAGGGAGGGCGTTTTGTGGTTGTGAATTAAGGGAGGGCATTTCACAGTTGTGAACTAAGAGAGGGCATTTCGTAGTTGTGAATTAAGGGAGGGGCATTTCATAGTTGTGAAAAGGCATTCCGTAGTCGTGAATCTAAGGAGGGCATTTCTTGGCCACAAATCAAGGCATCTCCTCTTACAGTCATGAATTTTGTAGTCATTTTACAGTCATGAATCGCAGGACAGCCTTCCTTGGTTGCGAATTAAAGGATAGGTTTTAGTCATAAACTAAGGAACAGCATTCCTTGGTCACAAATGAAGGGGCAGATGGATCTCTCTATTTTGGTTTTTCTTGGATCTTGTCCCCTCCGCCTGTCTCAGCACTGAGTTTGTCCCATTTCTGCTTGCAATACCAATTTAAAAATTCTGTGCCGGATTTTGCAAAGATATTTGCAGGCCTTTCTCCTGGCACAGCAGGGGTCGTACCTTGCAGACATTTTACTTGCGCCAGTTCAGCTATATGATCGTAAAACTGCCTGGTGGGTAGGATCCTGGCTGCAGAGCACATTTTGAGGGTTAACACCATATTGGGTGACCCTTTCATTTGGGAAAAGTGCAATCTGGGGTCGCGTTGTGTTTTAAACTGGGGCCGAATAACAGTGTACCCTAAGGTTGGCATATTTCAAAAAGTAAAATTCCTTAAAGCCCCCAAACTAGTGAGCTTTTAACCACCAAAATTGTTGAGCTTTTGGGGGAACCCCCCCCCCCAAAAATAGTGGTTTTAAGCTTACATCTGGGTTTCCCCTGACATTTTGCAGAATTTCCTCCTGATGCTATTTTTACACCTGAAAACCAGGACATGTTGGGAATTTTCCTGACGTATGGCAAGCCTAAAGGTAAAGGGACCCCTGACCATTAGGTCCAGTCGTGGCCGACTCTGGGGTTGTGGCGCTCATCTCGCTTTACTGGCCGAGGGAGCCGGCGTACAGCTTCCGGGTCATGTGGCCAGCAGGACTAAGCCACTTCTGGCGAACCAGAGCAGCGCACAGAAATGCCGTTTACCTTCCCGCTGGAGCGGTACCTATTTATCTACTTGCACTTTGACGTCTTCGAACTGCTAGGTTGGCAGGAGCTGGGACCGAACAATGGGAGCTCACCCCGTCATTGTGGGGATTCGAACCGCCGACCTTCTGATCGGCAAGTCCTAGGCTCTGTGGTTTAACCCACAGCGCCACCCGCATCCCTATGGCAAGCCTAGTGCAGCCCTAATCTAGCCATGCTAATAAATTGGCCCCTCCTTGTATAAAGGCAGTATATTTCTGAATAGAACAGGGGGAGTTACAAGGAAGGCGTTTCTGACTCAAAATCAGGTTAAACTTTCTGAAAAGTAAGAGCTGTTCGACCGTGGGATGGAAGGCCGTTGCGGACTCTCATTCCTTCGAGGTTTTTAAGAGAGGTCAGATGGTCCCCTTTCAGGGATGCTTCGGCTGAGATTCCTGCATCACAAAGGGGGTTGGATTGGATAGCCTCTAGGGGTCCCTTTCAACTCTGCAATTCTGTGATTCCCAGGAAAACTGGCCCGAGAAGCAACCCGTTTTCAGTTCCCTTATCCGGAAAGCAAATCCTGTCTCTTGACTTCTCTCGCTCTTTCTCCTGCCGGCGGTGAATATTAAGCACTGATAACTTTTAACCAAAAAACCTTAACTTTTAACCAAAAAGCAACAACAACGGGGGGGGGGGATAAAGTGAAGGGCGATCACTGCACAGCATGCAAAAAATGTGTGGTTTTCCTCCTCATCTTGCTGTTTCCTGACCCTGACCTCAGCCTGTCTGGGTCTGCAGCCTTGAAATCACCTGATCTAATTGCTACCAAACCCCAGGCAGTAAAATCACAGCTGATAAGGCCTCCTGTCACTTTCGCTCTAGGGAGAGAGCACCCCTCCCTCCTTTTCCCTTTTAAGGTAGATTCTTCCCCGTTTAAGGCGGAACGGGGATTCGTTCTCGGTCTGCGGCTACAAAAAGCGTGTGTCGTCCCCCTGCAGCCTTGAATTTATTTGATTCTGTGTGAGTCTCCGATGAGCAACCCTGGTTGTTGAGTTAATTCAGAAAGGGGGGGCACATTTCTGCTGGGGACTGCACGCCGGGGGCCGGTGGGTCGAGTCGCAAAAGTCTGTGGAGCCAGAAATGCAAGATTTCTAGTGGGTTAAACCACAGAGCCTAGGGCTTGGCGGTCAGAAGGTCAGTGGTTCGAATCCCCGTGATTCTTTTGCGAATAATCCATATCTTTGAGGCAATTCACTCGAATAGTAGATTGCTTTACTTGCGTGAAAATCTTTTGCCCCTCTTTCCTTTTTAAAAAGAAGATCTTCAGAAACCCATCCTTCCGTTCACAGCGGTGATACAGGTCGATCTGTGCAATGCATTGTGAACCACGTTTTTCCTCCCCTGCAGAATCCTGGGAGACGTAGTTTGCTAAGGGCGCTGGGAACTGTAGCATTATTGCGGGGGGACTACAGAAATTGAGATTCTTTGCAGGCGATGGCGACGCATTTGCTTTAAACGCGCAACCTTCGTTTTTATCCGAAACCTATTCACCTTAATGAATTCAGCGAGGCTGATGAACTTTGCAACTTTTCAAAGCCTGATAGTTACCGACACACCTGCAGCCGCCCACTAGGCAATCCCACTGCTTTGGGGGCTTGGGAGCGACTGCCGAGGTCCAAGGACTTTATCTGGGTCCCTTGCTGGCTCCCTGGAGGTCTTGATTAACTCTGCGCAGGTTAATTCTGTGTCCAGGGCAGCTGTCTACCAGCTCCATCTGGTACGCAGGATGAGACCCTCCCTGCCCGCGGACTGTCCCGCCAGAGCAGTGCATGCTCTGGTTATCTCCCGCTTGGACTACTGCAATGTGCTCTGTGTAGGGCTACCTCTGAAGGTGACCTGGAAACTACAACTAATCCAGAATGCGGCAGCCAGACTGGGGACTGGGAGCGGCCGCCGGGACCATATAACACCGGTTCTGAGAGATCTGCATTGGCTCCCAGTATGTTTCCAAGCACAATTCAAAGTGTTGGTGTTGACCTTGAAAGCCGTAAATGGCCCAGTAGACCTGAAGGAGCGTCTCCACCCCCATCGTCCAGCCCGGACACTGAGATCCAGCGCCGAGGGCCTTCTGGCGGTTCCCTCATTGTGAGAAGTGAGGCTACAGGGAACCAGGCAGAGGGCCTTCTCGGTGGTGGCGCCCTCCCTGTGGAACGCCCTCCCATTAGATGTCAAGGAAATAAACAACTCTCTGACTTTTAGAAGACATCTGAAGGCAGCCCTGTTCAGGGAAGTTTTTAATATTTAACGCTGTACTGTTTTTAATACTTGATTGGGAGCCGCCCAGAGTGGCTGGGGAGACTCAGCCAGATGGGCGGGGTATAAATTATTATTATTATTATTATTATTATTATTATTATTATTGATCTCTGGAGGTCATGGGTTCGAATCCCGCCCTGGCCAAAAGATTCCTGCATTGCAGATTCTAGCATTCTAATACGGAGTTGGAACTGTGGCTGTGCACCCCTGCCTTTTGTCAGCACTGCATTTCACGGCCGAACTTTGCCGGCTGTGTTTGTGGGGGGTTTTTTGGGTGGTGGGGTGTCGGTTTACGGGCGACGCATAGTTTTAAGATGCAGCTCCCGTTGTCTCTGACATTATCAGTCTGGAGCAGTCGCAGGCGGTCTCTCGCCAGCCCTCCTTACGATATACGATAATGCTCTCTCTCTCTCCTTTCTCCTGCGTCAGCAAAATAAAAATTAAAAAAGAAGAAGATTCTCAGCCGATTTCTTTGCAACAGGCAACCCCAGAGCTACATGCAGCTGGTTAGAAAGATCTTTTGCATCTCAATTCTTTCCTGGGCTGGATTTTATTATAAAAAGGGGGGGACAGAGAGTGTCTCTATCTCTCCCCCCCCACTTTCCACAAGGGCAGTCTGGTCATTCCCCTTTGCTATTTTCCTTGTTTATATTTTAGGGAGATATTTGCAGGCTCCTAGCGATAACGATAAACCCAGCAAGGCGGTAGCAATAAAACAAAATACATTGGTAAGTACCGGTCTGTAAAAAGGGGGGAAACACACACTTTTTTAAAGGGGGTGTTTAAAAGAAGGCGGGACTGGACTTCCGGTGGCAGGTAGTTCCGCAGGGCAAAGCCTCATACGCTCACTAACAAAATGAATAGGGGCAAATGTCAGGTTCTGCACTTAGGAAGGAAGAACCAGATGCACAAATATAGAATGGGCGACACCTGCCTGGCTAGCAACAACCCAATAGCCCCCCCAAAAACCCCCACATTTT